ACACATATTGTATGATTCCTTTTATATCAAATGTCTAGAACAAGCAAATTTATAAAAACAGAAAATTAATTAGTGATTTCCTAGGACTGGGGGAGTTGGGAGAAATGGGGCGTGATTGCTAATGGGTACTGTTTTTTTTTCGAGGTGATGAAAATGTTCTAAAATTGTAGTGAAGTTTGCACAAATTTGTGAATACACTAAAAACCACTGAACTTTACACTTCATATGGATAAACTGTATGATATGTTAATATCAATATCAAAATAAGTAAAACTGCTAAAAAAAGATACAATGGTAACTTGGACTAAGTAGACAGCAGTAGAGGTGCCCCTTAATTAGTATCTCCACATCTCCTCCTCCAGGCATCCCCTGGCAGCTACCTTTCCATGGATTGACTATTTTAGATACCTCATGTAACTGGAATCATGCAATATTTGTCTTTCTGTGACTGGTTTATTTCATTTAGCATAATATCGTCAAAGTTCATCCATGTTGTCACATATTCCAGAATTTCCTTCTTTTCTCTATGCCTTGATGCTTTGAGCTTTAATGCTATTATTATTAATAGTAGTAGTAGTAGTATATCTAAACTTTTAATGAACATATGAGTTTGCTCTTCTGAGTGTAAAAACTAATTCATAAGTGAACCTACAAATATACTATTTGCTTCATTAGGAATTTTTGTTAAATAAATATTTGTTCACAATTTTATTTTAGTTTGATTATTATCTTATTTAAATTCCCTATGTTTAAATATGCTATTAGTTATAATCATCAGTTTTTTGACATCTTGCATTTGTTGTACCGCACAAAGCTGTACACTGCAAAACCCAGTAAAGATGTAAGCATGGCAGACATTGGATGGTGGCTCTCTCTCAGCTTCATTTCATTGAGTCATTAATTCCACTATTGTGTTTCTTTCATTTTTTTCAATATGACATCTACATAGCTGATTGAGTGTGCAGTCTATTATGACACTTAAGGATTTTTCATAGTTGCTGTTTTATAGGTTTGTGTTTTTACGAGAGCAATTTGAATGTCAGCCTTTTTCACTTCATACATATTATCTCCAATTATAAAAAAAGTTATATAGATTTCATAAATATGTGTAGCTTTTTAAAGCATTACTTAAAAATCAATGCCTTTAAGAATTTTCACTTACTTAGTCATGGATAAGATACCTGACTGCTCAATAAAATATCAAGAAAAATTTACATAGTTATTGAAAAATTTAGCATTGAAGACAAAAAAGTTGATCCTTATCCCTTCAGGATATTTTATCATCTGCAACTATTAGTGGACTGAAAAGCCCCACTGGCTTTAAAACTTTAATGAGTATGTATGTAAACCTTAAAACAACAAAACACATTTTTTTACTTTTTCTTTTTACAAGTCTATTGTGGAATAAAAATAAATAATTTAGATTTATGCTACAGGCACCTCTTCTTTCTGTGACTGAAAAGCAGATGTAGGTTAAATCGAGAATGATTTTTGGTTACTTTTTTATTAAGAACTTTCATGTTGGCCAACGTTTCTAGTTCTCTTCTGCTCTTGTTTTCTTCTTTGAAGCTTTGCTTCTACTTATTGATGTGCTCAAGCAACTGATTAGCAGCAAAAATTTATGATTTATTAAAGGAAAATGAACCAAAAAATATTTTTCTCCATCAAATAGTGTATCTTGTAACTACCATATCAAGATATGCTTATCATTAGACTAACACACACCCTTTATACAAACATACAGATACATGTACACAAATGACACATATGTTCATGGATTAAACATACATACCCATACACATTTACACTGCATACTTTTGTGCTCATTGATTAAGCATATACATACACATAACCTCTATATACATACACGTGTTCACACTGCATACATATGTGTGCATGGATGGATTAAGCAATGACAGTACTTTACATTAATAAAACCTCTTCCAACATTATAAAAGTGTAAAGAAGCAGTCTTGTAATGCATTTCTCTCATGTTTATTAACAGGCAAAAATGAACTCTATCCGGAAAGAATTCAGAGAAATTTCTCAAATAAACCATTTCAAAATAGTTTTAAAAATATTGGTTTTTAAATTTTTTTTTCGAAATATCAATACCAAGTTATTAATATGTCATTTGAATCATTTTGGGAAATGCTATCCAACTGTGCTTTTGAGACTGATAATCTCTCTGCCAGCCAAGGTCATACCAAGGAATAGTGAGGAATGTCAGGACAGAATAAAAAAAAAAGGGATTTAAATACTTTTGATTTTTATCCATCTAAATTGCTCATCTAGACTGAAAATCTTTTTCCATAATTGTTTAAATTACAGCTAGATGAGTATTTCAAGATGTTCATTCCAAATTTGTGGACTAATATTGTCAATGATCACAGAATTTTAAAGCTGGAATTGATCAATGGCATTATCAGGTCCAGTGCTTTCTGCTGGCAGATGAGTTGATGTAAATTAATTATCTAAAATCTTTGTAGTTTAGAAAATGAAAAAAAGGAATGATTACCATTTCAGGGGAGGAAAGTGAGGCATAAAGATATTAAATAATTTTCCAACTTTATTAGAACTTGCTACTAGCGGCTGGGACTGAAATTTAGCCTGCCAATATCTCATTTACTGCTTTCCACTCTCCTATCTGATATTGTTTATGGTTTTACAGTGTCACCTGGATGTGGAAAGATAATGATTTAATAAGAAAGAAATATATTTTTGGCTGTCTGGACAGCACACATATTGTCATGTCATGTTGACAGTAAAGGTGGGGTTCTGAATTCCACTGCTTAAAGAGTCCTGAGTTTTACTGAGCTGAGCTCCAGAAGGAAAAGGACAATGTCATTCAGAAGGTGTGTTTAATGAACTTCATTTTAGTTGTAATATTTTGACTATGCAACACATAATAAGATCTTTTTTTACAAAATATATTTATAGGCTTCAGTCTAGCTTCTAGCCACGCTGACTAAACAAATATAATTGCTGTGAATGGACTCTAAACAGCTTTTAACATTTCATTACAAAGCAATTACATCTGAGTCTTTCCCAGAGCTCTCAGCATGGCTTTTAAAAAAGAAATTACACAAACAGGTGAAATCAACCATTATGAAATATAACCTTCCTGCCCAAAACCTAAGGCTTCAGGGTGGGAGTGTAGTGAGGGAGGTTTAAGCCAAGTGATAAACACGTTTTATTTTCAAGGTAACTGCATTGAGAGAATTTAGTATGCTTACTCAAGGTAAGCTTATTTTTGAAAAAGGACATATTTACTTAATTTTACAATGCTATGAAGTAGTACAAAATTTATTAGACATTTCCTGAAGGTTAAGTGAAAACCAATCTCTTATAAATACATTTTTTTTTTAAAAGTCTTTTAAAAAACAAGATATAACTGCATACTTGTCTGTATTTAGAAAGGTCACAATTGGTTAATTAACACTTATTGAATGCTCACTGTGTGCCAGACACTGCTGTAAGCACATGATATATATCTTCACAGGATTTATATGAGGTAGTCTTTACTGTTTTCTTCATTTATAAGATGAGGAAACTGAGACATGGAGAATACAAGTAATTTGTTCAAGATCAAGCAGCCGCTGGTGGGAGCTCAGGGTTAAAACATAGGTATTCTGGTGTCTGAGTCTGTGATCTTAAGTGCTTTTTATGCTGTCCACACTTACTACTAAGGCTCCTATGTGAGGAACCGACACTGCTCTGGGGATTTAGAGATGAAAAGAGGGGTGAGCCACTAACATAATAACTAGCCATGACTTCATAAAATATCATAGTATTTGTTCGGCCTCAGGGCTGTGCTTCCAAACATAGCTTTCAAAAAATGAAGATAACAGCAATCACACAGTTTTAATGAATTGTAACTATTCACCTTGAAACAGAGGTTCCTAACTGAGGCCCAGGGCTTTTGGAATTCACAGATCCCTTGTGATTGTAAGCTCCATGTGTGAAGATGTGAGAATACACATGTGAGTATTCTTCTGGAAAAAAATACTCCGTCTTTCAAGAGATTCTTAAAGAGATACATGGGCTTAATTAATATCTAGAGCAGGGGTGGTAAAACATTTTTGATAAAGGTTCAGATAGAAATATTTTAGGCTTTGTGGGTCATACAGTCTCTTTCACAGCTACTCAACTCTGCTGCTACTGTGTGAAAACAGCTGTGGACAATACATAAAGGGATGAGCATGGCGGTGTTCCAATAAAATTTCCTTTACGGACTTTGAAATTGTGATTTCATATAATTTTTATATGTCACAAAGAACTTCTGTTCCTTTGATTGTTTTTCAATTATTTATAAATGTAAAAGAAAAAAGAAAAACACTTTCTTAGTTCAGAGATCATAAAAAACAAGGAATAGTCCAGTCCAGATTTGGCCCACAGACCATAATTTGCCAACTCCTAGTCTAGATTAGTAATTCTCATGGGCATAATATGGGAACTTTCTGAAAATGCAAAATGTCAGGCCTCTCTGAATTTCTACTGAACTAGGAGCTCTGAGAGTGGGGGCATAGTAGTCTGTGTTTTAGAAGTCTTCTAAGTGAAATGGGTAGGCACTAAAGTTTGAGAGCTGCTGATCTGGAATCACTATTCTAAAGATTCAGTTCATCCATCTGTTCATTCTTGCAACAAATAATTTTTGAGAGGTTACTTATATTGCACCAGGAAAACAATGGAGGGAATGCTATTTTTCCTCTTTGTAGATGCAAGAATAATCACCTCATAAAACAGGAGATGGCAGCTTTCTGAAAATGGCTCACTTTTTGAAGAATATTATATGTGTCACATCGTGGCCCCATACTTATATATACACACATGCTTAAAACAAAATATCACAAAGCCATATGTACCCTTAATACATGTCATGCACCCTGATATTCTATTCTATTCTATCTGTATTGGATTTATCCCAATAAATTGATTTTACAACCCACTACTAGATCACAACTCATAGTTTGAAAAATACCACAATAAAATGAGCTCACCAGGGCAAATTCCTTGTTGAGAATCATCTGCTCAACCAAAGACGACTCATTGTGGAACAGGTGGGGCTGCATATGGCTCCACATGTGAGGAAACCACCAGAACTCATCGACAGACCCCAGCAGACAGTCATCTCCTTCATCTTCCTCTTCAGTCCCTATATGACATAAAGTTAAAAGTGGCTTTAGTAAAAATTTTGTACTTGCTTAAAGGCTTTTTTTTTCAGATTTGTGTTATTTTTCATGCTACTGATACACAGATCCAATTCTGTGTATTTTTTAATCAGGAAAAAAAAAATGACCATAGTCTAAATTATATCAGAAGTAAGAGGGATGGACATTGGAATGTGGTGAGGTGGGCAAGGTTGGCCCCAGGTGCAGTTTAATTTAGAGTTTAGGGGTATTTCATCAATAATATTATTTAAAATTGCTAGTTCACAATGGTAATAAAAATCAGACCTACTTTGAGACGGTTTATTTTTTGCTTTAAAATGATCAACAGACAAATTATCAAATTATCTTCCATATTGCATACAGGGGAAACCTGACCAGACATGATAATACTTTTTTCTCTTAAAAATTTCCCTGTTTATAAGCCTAAAATTGAGTTTGAAATTTAACTGACAAAGTTTGTTAACTTTTTTGATTATAAAAATAATATATGTATGTTGAAGAAATGTGGAAAGCACAGACAAGGAATTCATAAAGCCAAAAAACAGAAACAAATAGAAAATAACCTATAAAACCATCTTCCAAAGCTAATCCATGGAAACATTCTGTGCCTTTCTTTAAAATCTTTTTCTACTTGTTTTTTAAAAAGTTGAGCTCTTACTTTCTAAATAATTTTGTGTCCTTACATTTTAAACTTAACATTATACACATAAACATTTCCCATGTTGATACATAAAAATTAAACAATCTTTTAACTGTAACAGAAAACTGAGAATTTAAAATTAATATTCCTTTTTTCTTCTATTGGGAAAATTTGTTAACATTGCCCAATGCATAGGAAAAACTGCTGTTATGCCACACACACACAAAAGGAAACAAAATCTCAACAATTTACTTAGAAGGAAACTTATTATGTTGCAGCTATCTAAGAATATTTGTGCTGTGTGAAATTACACAGTGTTTCTACAATTTTATAATATCCTGCCCTATTTTTAAATGTTTTGAATCAATAATACAAGAATCAATTCCTATGTGTTCTCTAAATACTTAACTATGTAAGTAAAGTAAAACAACAAGTCCTGGCTTATAGTGTGGGGCGTATTTATTTGGTTTATTCCTTCATAACAGAGTACATTTTACAGGCAGGTGCTTAATTTTATATTTTTTACTTAAACTAGGGAAATAAATATTAAAGATCTTTTTAAAAGCTTTCTCAGAATATTTCTTATGTGTGTCCTATGATAAATATTTTATTGGTCATGGAAGTAGCGCCATAAAACAGTTAAAGCATATATTTATATGTTTTCACACATTCTTGAAAGCTTTGCCTGCCTAGATTACAAATTTCTTCAAGTCAGGGACTGGATCTCTTTAACTCGCACTGTGACATGTCACTTCCCCAGATAAGTGAATAAATGAATAATTTAATTCAGTCTGTATTAATATAAAGTCAGTGGACTTTAGCAGCTTCGTATGGCCACTAACATGTATACCAGCTTGTCTGCCTTTTTATGTATATTCATTGTTCCAGGGGTACAATCTGTAATCCATAATCCTAAAAAGGTGTAAGAACCACCAGGTTTAATTACTATTTTGGCACCATGAATTCTACTACACAGAGTAAAGAAATAGAAACTTTGAAAGTGATAAAGTCCTATTAATAAGATGAGCAGACAGAATTCTTAATTCTTGCTAAAGTTACCTGAAAATGTTAGTATTAAAGACTCAGAATGCATTGACTTTTGTTAATATGTTAAGAATATCAAATATTGAAATCAAAATGAAGAAGGGTGTATCAGTTCCTCAGATGCAGTGTTTATGCTATGGACTTTTCTCATGGCCGTAGTTTAGAAGACTGAGTCATAGATTAGAAAGAGTTACTTTATGTAACATGTGATGAAACAATTGATGGTTCTTCCACCACCCTGGAATTATCTGTTGTACTTTGAATATAGCATGTTTGAGAATGCTTCCATTCACTTTAAATTCTACTGATCATTATGCAAGTGGAGGAAGCACATAATACATACTTGACTAGGAAGGAGGTCAATTACTCAGTTTAAAGAAAATTTTGCAGACTATTGATATAAACAGATACATGACCGATCATAAAATCTTAGTATTGTTTATACCAGAGATGATGTTAATTTATAAATACTCTCTGCAAGGTTGAGAGTGACATTTAAAACCTCCTTTTTTTTTTTTTTTTTTTTTTTTTTGCATCCTGGATTAATTTATATCAGATCTTCTCTTATTTCATGCTGGTCATATAATTCAAAACCACATGAGGCAGACCCTTGACACTGGAAATAGCTTAATGAAAAATATGATACCAAGTCATGCTGAAGAACCACAGCAGAATTTCAAATGCTTTCAAATCCAACCAAATAAAAATAGCAAGTTTTCGACTCACTGTAAACACACGTTTTTCTATACCTTATGTATATAAAATTATGTGTGAAAATATAATTTGTAGTTCATATGTAACCATATTAACACAAGTTACAGACCATTAGCACATCTGTGTTCAAATTGAGCTTTTCACTTTTAACCTGATATAGATTCAAATCTAGATCATTATTAGAGACAAAAATATTACATATTGTTCTTATTTAAACATTATTCTCTTTACGTTTCCTGATTCCCAGAGAATAAAAAATGTATTAATTCAGAAATAAAATATATGAAGAGGTCATTTCTTTATCAGTTTTGAAGGATCTGAGGTAATCGTATGCTTCTAAAAGTTAAGTCTGCCAAAATAAGAATAACTTAGCAAGATCTGGACAACAGATTAATTTCCTTAAAGGCACAGTTGTAACATTAAAATAAGATACATATAATTTCAATGTCTGCATTATTTTTTGTGTACAAATGTCTTGCCTTATATTTGCTCATTATATGTGAAATATTAAAATTCCTAAATAGTGAGTAGATATTTCCTAATTTTCTTTGTACACTGACCCTGGCATGGATCCATACAGGTAGGTATAGAATAAACTAATTTTAAATATTATACTGATTAAAGATGTCTGTATGCTGATAAAAAATTTATTAAAAGCTACCAACAGTTCCAAAATTGGAAAATATAGCCATGTGAATTATCTTCTCTTTACTTTCTTGGTAATACTTGATTCTTAAGCAAGAATATTTTCAAAATTAGTAATAATAATAAACACTTACAGAACATTTACAACACACTAGGCATTGTCCCAGATGAGAGAGATGTTATTATTATTCCCATTTTGAAGATGTGGAAACTGAGGCACAGGAAGTTTAAGTAACCTCTATGTTTTCACATAGTTAGTAAGATGTCAGAGCCTGGATTTGAACAGAAGCAATCTGTTTCCAATATCTAGTCTTTCAAACAATACTTTATGCAGACAGGCAAAACAAACAAAAAAATAAGCAAAAAAAAAAAAGAATATAACACTTTTCCTACTTTCATGTTTAAAAGTTAATAATTTTATATTAAGCACTATTTTTTGTAAACTAGACTCTCATGGAAAAGACCAATGTTAATTGAACTTGTAAATATTATTCATGAATTTATTATTGATTGGGTCATATTGAATTTATTATTAATTACAAAGAACAGTAATGATTGTCACCAGAAATCATGTCCTGTGAAAAATAAAATCTGTAGCTCCCAATTACCTAGAGACATCTTAATACTGTGCCGTCTCCATTTTTCAATTGAGCTTTCATTGTGCAATTCAAATCAAGCTGTAAATATTTCCAGACTAAAATATTTCACTCTGAACTCCATGCTTTTATTTTTTTTCTTTTAATCATCACTATGTCTTTCCTCTTTCAATTTGGCACCTGTGGGTGAATGACTTTTAGAGGAGTTTTAGTGATGTGCCCTTTTGGGGTGAGATTGTTTTTAGCATGTGAAGGACAGAGAATTGAACAGGAAAGAATACATGAGAAATACAAATAAGTGAAGCAGTCTAAGAAATGCAGAATCAATCTTTATTACACTGGGCATATGTGATTAAATGTCTTCAAAACAATGAGACTCATCAATCAGCATCCTCATGCACTGGGAAATCAGATCATCCTGAGAGGGAACTGAGATAGTCACTGTGACAAGGCCATCTCCTCACGGTTACACATCATGGTCAAGTGCACATATAAGGAAAGCACTTCCTTGATTGGCAATCTTTTTTTCTATAATGTTAAATCTCCATACAGGAGTGTGACTAAATAGTGGTGAAGCATGCCTTTCTGATAGTGGGTATTACTAATGTATAACTCCATTCTGGAAGAAACCTTAATACCATAATTCATTAAGTGTATTAATGAATACTCAACATGATATGATTGTACCCTTGAAACACATTATGGATGCCTTTCAATGATCCTCCAAATAAAGTAGCATATCAATTAAATAAAAGTTACATATTAGTGTGAAAGAAATTAGACTTCCAGAATATAAAAATTTATTTATGTATTACTTATTCTCTAACGTGCTCAGTCACCACAGCACAACAGCATAGAGTGTTTCTTCCGTTATTTTTGCTAGGTTAGTTCCAACAAAAAGGGTCAATAAGACCTGTTTAAGAGATATCACTAAAATATGTCTGGTTTTTTTGGTATCTTCCTTTAACAATTATCCCTGTGATATTGACTGGTGTTCTGCTCATTTCCTAGTCGATGTGTGCCGTGTACATGTTTAGGATTATAAAGAAGAAATGAGAAGTGTTATAACCTCTATCAACATTAACTCTGCAAACGTCTGGCAGGTTTAATAGGTCTGAGTATGAAAAGTAAATAAAAACTCAGGCAGTTATCTAGATATACTTCAGCCCCCCAAAATGGCTTTAGTTACACTATATAGCTATTTAAGACAGAATAATATTGTTTGTGTGTGAACTCCAAATAATCTCATAATTTTTTTCTCCTGCATGAGTAAACACAGTCTTTACAGTTATCCGTTTTATAACTTCGTACTCAGAGCTTCTTAGGTCTGAACTCATTTCTTGAGGGGCTTTTGAAGAAGATTTACAAAACCATGTCTATTTTCAAAATTGTAATCTGGAATTGCTTTGCCTGTGAAGATATGATGACCCAAATCTCTTTCTGCAAAATGTCCTTTTTAAAATATGCAATCATTTGATTTATCAGCTGCTCTAAATACTAATTTTCCTTCTATCACTTTAAACCGATTTATATGCTTCAAAGCAGGAGAAAAAAAGCATGAAGGAAAAGCCAATAAGACGTTGCTACTTCAATATGCTAATAAGATAAGCCATGTTGAGCTTTTACATTAAAAAGATTCTTTGGGTAAACAAGCTGCATTTATGATAATTAAAGGCTACCTTTGCATGGGATATTTTTAATGAGTCAATGAACTTCATACATACATAAAGAACACTGTGAGATGTTTCCACTAACAGGCTGTAAAGAAACAACAAAGCGTTTAGCTCACAGCACGGATGCACAAATAGGAGCAGATTGTAGGTATTCCCCTAGTACAGGCCCCAACACATAGTTTAATACTATTTTTGTCATCATTGTAAGACAATTTTATGAAAATAGTTTTCTCTATACTGGTGTCAGATATTACAGTGCTAATATTCAGAATATAAAAGTCAAGTCAAAATCTGGAGGCTAGGATGGGTAAAGAGGTGAGAAATATAAAAACATAGAGTAGAGCATGAGCACCAATCACAGTTTGAAAATTTGTTGAGAGGCTGAGACAGAACAGAAGCGCAACTGTGGCTGGATAGAGATGGAAAAAAATACAAGCCTGATTGTGATGGTTTTAACTTATGTTTTCCCAAATTAGCCATGATATTTTTAGAGACGAACCCTGTAAGGGAAGGTATCTAACTAGATGACCCTTAGGGTCTATTACATTTCTTTGCAGCTACAAAATTCCTCTCCCATCATCAGATGTTTTCCAAACAAAAATAATGTGTAGAAAAGTATCCATCACCTCAACTATTTGATACTTAAAAATACTGTCCATTATTATTTTTAGAAGCAGTAGCATTATCATATTACCAGGCTTTCTACTTAGAGTATGCTAAGAAACAAGATTCACAGTCATTTAAAAATGGTTGTGGTTTCTTTTACTGAGTTGAAAAAGTCAATTCTCTTCCTCTTTTGCCCTTGATTTTAACAGTATTTGCCAAAGTAAACAAGGTCATTGATTTTGAATTTGGCTACTCATATAATGCGCCCAAGTTTTTCCCCATAATCAATCTTGACATTCTATTTCTCCTACTTATGGAACATTTAAAATCTTATCTCCTATTTATATGTAGCTGCCTGAGAACACAAAGCTCCTTCTTACCTGTGTGGTAAAACTTCCCTGAAAATCCAAGGTTGAAGGTAAAATTTGCAACCTGAGTGCGCAGTAAATTTTGAGTCTCTAGTAATGCCTGAAATAAATAAGAAATTAACATGATTTTAGAAAAATAAATATGAAGCTTTGGGATGCCTCTTTTACAAATGTGTGTCTGTGAATGAAACAAAATAATATGAGCTTTGTTGCTTTTCAGGGTTTTGGTGGGTACTGTTATACAATATTCATATTTCAGGAATTATAATTACTATTATTATTTTTATTGAAGGTTACCAAATTATGAAACAGTTAAGTTCTAAACACATTATGCATTGCTTAGAGGCAATTTTCCAACTGCACAGCACAGAAAATATTTTTTATTTCTGCGTGAGATATTTCTTGAATTTCATATTATTATACTTCCTTTCCTTGGGGAAAATTTTTCAGAATTGTTTGATGTAGACAAGTTTTGTATTTGTTGGTAAGAAATAAGAGGAAAACTTTTGTTTGAACTGCAATTTAGTTTTTTATTTAACTGTTCTACCTCCCCATCATTTTAAAATATAATTATTGAGTTGAAAGCTTGGGTTTTTACTTTACAAACTAAAAAGCAATGTACATTTTATAGGTATAGGGCATTGCTTACAAATGTAGAGATATAAAAAAGAAAAGAACACGTAGGAATAGTACTCTTTATGTTACTGATTCCATAAAGAAATATTTTCTAAAGGTGACAAATATTGCCCTAAATTCTAGATTTGGAATCCTACTACATTAATTTCTTGTTTGTAGTTGATAGAAACACACTAATAATTGGTCAAAATTAATCATGTAAATTTTCTGCTAGTCCTTCCACTGCTATTATTCCTATGTCAACATTTGTAGGATAATTCAGAACTCTTGCATTCTTGGATTTTTAGCTTAATTACTGGTCTGCTTATTGATTCAGAATGCCTTTTTCTATTTTTTTTAGTGGAGTTTTTAAGAGGACTTACTTTGTTCTGGTGGAAATGAGAAACTCATTTCAAACTAGAGATATTAGTAAGACTGATTTTTGGTTACTGCTATGTATATGTTAGGATGAATAAGGATCCAGAGGTTTAGACAATTTCTTATGCATTAGTCATGGTGGCTAAGCATTTACCTAAAAAATTTGTAAACCTAACTATTTATTCATTTAGAATTAAGAGGGTCTCTTGCAAATTAGTTTAATTTTTTAAAAAAGAGAGGAAGAAATGGCAAAATAACTCAAAGGATGATAAAATATATTCAGTGGTTATCCAAGATCAAAACTATTGTTGGGAAAATAGAATAGTTTAATCTGGCCCCCTTGCCTCAGATCCAGTTGGGTGTGGTGCAGCACATTCTTTGCAAACAAATTGTGTGTGGGGGGGTGTTATTAGTGCACATGCACGCCAGAGTATCTTTTTAGTTTATTTCTGGTGTGTGTGCTCTGTAGAGCTCTGTAGAGCAGTGGTCCTGAACTGCTGGCCAGCAGAGAGCTCATGTCTAAAAATATAGCACGTTTACTTTGCTGGAAGCTGCTCAGTTTTTCTTTGGACTTTGCTGGTAACAGTTTAGTTTCTGAGTTTTTCTTTGGACTGCCTAGCTCCTAGATGTGTGTGTGTGTGTGTGTGTGTGTGTGTGTGTGTGTGTGTGTGTGTGTGTGTGCGTGCAGAAATAAAGACTATTCTTCCTTCAACCAAGGCTCCAAGGACCTCAGGTATATACTGTATATTTATCTTCAGTAGATGAACACATCTTGGGTATGGATGTACTTTATGGTTTGCACCTGCAAACAACAGTTCGAGAGTTTCGGCTACAAATATAGACAGTAAAGCCTGTGTTACAAGGTTATGCTAAACACAACCCACAGGGGTTACCCAAGCCGAGACTTGTAGTTAATGTAAAGCAGTATCTCCTACTGGGAGGACATGCTGAGATAAGTGCCACTATATTGGAATTAGAGAAAGTTGGCATTAATCATCCAGCTCATAGCCCATTTAATGCTTTGGTATGGCCAGTGAAAAAGCCTGATGGTACCCAGAGAATGACTGTAGATTATCGAGAACTAAACAAAGTAGTGCCTCCTTTGCATGCAGCTGTGTCTTCAGTTCATGACGATGGATCAGCTGATGAATCAGCTGGGAACTTATCCTTATGCATTGGACCTTGCAAATGCTTTTTTCTCTATTCCAATCTTGGCTGATTGCCAAGATCAGTTTGCATTCAAGTGGGAAGGAAGACAGTGGACCTTTCAAGTATTGCCCGTAGGTTATCTGCATAGCCCAAACATCTTTCATGGTTTAGAGGCTGGGGACCTAGCCAAGTGGACTAGGCCCAGCATGGTTACAAAGTTTCACTACATTGATGATGTGTTGCTAACCTCTGATTGTTTTATAGATTTAACCCAGGCAATCCAATGCTGCTAAGTCATTTGGAACAATGTGGGTGGGCTGTGAACACAGCCAAAGTGTGAAGACCTGGGCAGTCAGTCAAATTCCCAGGAATGCTCTGGTTAGGTAAGACGAGGGTCATCCCAGAGGCTATTTGGATAATCTATTGGCACCAATAACCCTTCTGTCTTTTGGCCCATAGTGTTTTGGCTGCAGGCACTGCACCAGAGTCATGTGATCCATGTGTTGTCTTACTGAATATGCACTGAACTTCCCATCAGTATGACTGCAGGATTCTCATGGAAATTCACACCAATGATGACTACCAACTGGAAATATGTGGCTAATAGTTAAAAGGACAGAATGACAAGCTCTAAGGCATATTGAATAGACAATATGTTACATAAATGTAAGGGTCATTTATCCTCGCTAAGGGAACATCGCAGAAGAGTCTGAACACGTAGATTGTACGCAAGGGACCCCGAAGGGGTGGACTGTTGGGAAAATAGAATAGTTTAATCAGGCCCCCTTGCCTCAGATCCAGTTGGGTGTGGTGCAGCACATTCTTTGTAAAAAAATTGTGTGTGGGGGTGTTGTTAGTGCACATGCACGCCAGAGGATCTTTTTAGTTTGTTGCTAGTGTTTGTGTGTTCTGTAGAGCTGTGTGGAGCAGTGGCCCTGAACTGCTGGCTAGCAGAGAGCTCATGTCTAAAAATAGAGCATGTTTACTTTGCTGGCAGCTGCTCAGTTTTTCTTTGATCTTTGCAAGTAGCAGTTGAGTTTCTGAATTTCTCTTTGGACTGCCCAGCTCTGAGATGTGTGTGTGCAAAAATAAAGACTTCTCTTCCTTCAACCAAGGCTCCAAGGACCTTTCTTCTGGTTACCAGCTCATAGACCTATGTGTGAAGGGTTTGTGACCCAGTCTGGACAATGGGCTTGAGGGGTCTGTGAGCTACAGACCCAGCCCTAGCTCTACAACTATGTTGGGTGTAATCATGGCCAAACTTATTTAAATATTATCAATTAAGTAGATAAAAGAAAAAAGAGACCAATTAGTTTAACTCATTTCTACGAAATATATTTTTAAAGTTCTCAAAAAGATAAATGAAATGTTAAAAGGAGGCTAGACTTAAAAATAAAGTCTATTGAACTAGTTGAGCTTATTGGTAAATGATATGGAATATAGCCTTAAAATAAGAACATTATGCATTTTTTCTCTTAGTGAGTTCCTTTTTCTGGATGTTTTGCTTTATTCAATGCATAATCGCTGAGCCTCCATGTCTTGAATTTTTAAAAAATTTCTTCCTTCCTCTGTTCTCATCACTCCAACCACATCCACTCAGTTTTCTTCTCTGAGTTTTGAAGTCCTTCTTTATTCTGCATTTATTAATCCACCATCCATCCTTAAATTCAATAAATATGTATTGTAAATAGAGACAGTGTTGGGTTTCATAAGCATGGCCCCTATAAACTTGGACCTTACTGCCTAGAGAGGGAGAGAGAATCACACAAATGTTTCATTACAACTACTGATAAGTGCTGCAAAAGAAATGTGGATCATGCTGTTACAGATCTAAGAGGACTTTAGACTGAAGGACGAGGCCCACACATTTTGTGCTTTCTAGGGACAATCTAATATAAAGTTCAAATAACCCATTTTTCCCAATCAACTTTCCACCATCTTAGGCAGACCCTCATGACTTTTCTCTTCTGCTTTTAAAATACTGTGGTCTCCAGCAGTGTTCCCACCTTCCATTTCCAGCTTTCTCTACTCTACCTTACACTCTGCAATCTTGCTAACATCCCAACAGCCAGTGCACTGCACCCTTGGTTCAGTGAAGCTATTTAATTAATGTCTCAACTTTTGTCAGTTATTTCACTCCCCTAATTGTTTCCTTATCTGAAATGGGATAATGCTGAATACTTATTTCATACTATTATTGTGAAGATTATATTGTATACGCTATGCAAAGTGTTTAACATGTGTGATACATAGTAAGAGCTCAATAAATGCTGTTATTGAGCCCTGAATATATCATTCTCTCCTCGTCAATTATGTACCTTTGGTGCCTCCACATTTCCAGTTATGCTACATGCCTTGTTACTTCCCCCAAATCACCATGTAAACTCAGGTAAATTGAACTACGCTGCTTTTCTCTATGCCTTTTCTTACTCTTTTCCCTTTTCCTGTAAAGCCTCCCCTGCTCCCAATCCCATTTCCCAAATCCCACCCGTTCTTTAATTCTATGGCCAAATGCCACCTTTTTGTATGAAGCCTTTTCTGATTCCTTCAAGCTTTTCCTTTTCTCATTTCCCAAAGTAGGTTTCCAAATAATTTTCTTAATATTTGCATCATTTTTTATTGCATCCACTCTGTATCTTATTTCTTCCTCTGGTCTATATGCACCTGCACGTTTACCAAACTTTATTCATTTCTATGTATCCAGTGTTGTTAAATATATTTTCATATATGTGAAAGGTATTCAAAGCATGATAAAAGCACATATTAATGCATAGCAGTAAACTGAGTTAGTTTCATTTCTTTTTATTAGTAACATTTTTCCAATGGTAAAATGGTAAACATGGTTCATGGACCATACCACAAAATATTAGAACAATATAGATAGGATCTGGCATTTTACCAGCTTATTTTATAACACAGTTGTCTTATAATGTTATGTTATAGATCTCCTACTAAGAC